AAGAAACTATTTTCTAACTCATTATCTTTCTGCTCGATAGTTGGATGCCCGGAAGAGTGATCACTTCAGGTTTTTCTCGAAGGTGATAAAGTACAGGCATGCCCATGAAGTATTCAGTCATGAAAGTTTTCTCAGTAAGGTAAAGTATCCTCTGCTTCGTTATGCTGTTGCACATGATTTATTTTTAAAGCGGTAAACATTGATGCAGGCAGTTCTATAAGAAATACATACTCTTCCATTATGCTGATGCAACAACTATTTTTTTGCAGAATGAAATAACATGGCATGAAGACAATTGGGACAATCATGACAGCAGATTTCTTGCATTCACGTAAGAATATATGTATATCTTTAATTGGGCAATGAGATAGATAAGTCAGTGCTTCTTTCTAACACTTTAATTAGTGAATGTCTATTGTTCCCTTTCAGACTTAACTGTGATGGACTTGACAGCACGTGTTTTCCCTTGTGTTTGTGCATATGCATGCAGGCTTCATGAAAGGAGCGGGGCAGATGTCTATTTGGCATTTAATGCTCACGATTACTTTATCAAAGCACTGCTGCCCACACCTCCAGAAAAGAGGAAGTGGTTCCGTGTGGTAAGATTTTCCATTTTTGTGGCATATCCAAAAATACGTTATTTTCGCTTGCATACATAATTACAATGCATAGAGGAATATTTATGGCAAGCTTACCTCTTGCCCAAATTCCCGGTACCTTTTGCTAGAAAAAGAAGTAAATTACCCTTCTCATAACGATGGCTTACTGATTGCTAGAATGATGACTTTCTTATTATTAAAAGTTACATATGGGTTAAGCATATTTGTAATCCCAATAAATATGGAATAGTTCGATTAGTCCTTCATTTAAAGAGGTTGAATCTTTATGCTCTATTCTCAAAATTGAGATTATTCAAGTTTTAGTAATAAAAAACCATCACAAGATGTGAATTGTAGATTACTGCAAGTTTAGGCGGTTTTGGATCACTACAAAATTGTGAATCATGAATTTATATTTAGAAAAACAAATATCCTTATAATGGAAAGAGAAAAGAACAATATTCCAACAAGCAAAAAGATGCATATGTCCGAGAACAATTTTAAGATTCAACAAAATTTCTTTCAAGATACATCAATTCAAAGATTAAGTCACCACCACATGATGTCATGACCATACCCACAAAAGGATAAAGCCATCACTTCTCCTTGACACAGAGCTATGCATCGACCTGCAGCATAATTTTGAACTAGTTGACAACCAGTTGCTTAAGTATGTGTCAAAACATCATTAATTAATTGACTCAGATGTTCCTTGGATGTTGGTAAAGGAATTGTCAAAACATTATTTCTCAGATATATGGCATTAGAGACAGCTGTTGAGTTTTGGGTTGGGTGGACAAATGTTAGAAGTTGTATTAACATGCCCAATCAAATACTGGATGCAAAACGTGAGTGTCCAAACTCTAGGCTGAAAAGGGACAGGAAAATACCCAAGGGTTGGGATTGGTATATTCACGATTAGATAGTTTCGCGATGAAAGTTTGTCATAAGATGGAAATAATTCTGTAGGAGTCTCGCGTCAAGGAATTGATGTTGATCTTAGATCTAGAGGTTTTTCCACTTAATAAATTAACATTTTGGTTTGAACTATTCTTTTATACGTAAGTCTTAACAACAAAGGAATAGACCCTGGAACAAGACTACCGAAAAAATATTTACCCAAAGAGTACAGAAAATCCCGTCGTACTTTTTTAAAGTTCAAAATCTTGAACGCATCAGCTTCTTCAGGCTTTAGCTTCATAGTATTTAATGAGATTGTGTGTTTTCTCATTATTGCCGATTTGAAGTTTATTATTATAGGTTGTTGATTTAATATCCATTTCTAAGAATCAGAGTGGCAAGTGCTGAAAATTTGTGACGCTTAGACACTTCTGGATAAGATCAATAAGAATTTAACATGATTATGCGCATTAATAGTTGAGGAGCAACCTTGGCTCCCAGGGAAGAAGACAAAGGTGTGGGCACAATTTGTGAGTAAGGGCGTAGCCTAGCCGAAGATTAGCGTCAAATCCAAACTTCAAAGAAAGATTAATTATTCTGAAAATGCCAAGCATTACCCTCCCCACAAAAAACACACCCACTCCTTGGATAATCTTGTTGGAAGTCTATGGTTTTGACTTGATCGAAAGAATACATCTATCAAAGTGTGATTGGATTCTATGGTTGCTAATTTATATTTCTTCTGAAGAGCAATAAGGTTTTATTTGTTGCATCAGTCCACTGTTAAATGTAATTCGATATGAGATCTTCCTCATACTTTTTTATCTAATTTGAATTATGGACGCATATGCAGGTGGACACTAATCTCAAATCTCCGGACGACTTTGTTCTTGATGGTGTCCATAGCATAGGAAACACGTACAATATAGCTCCATACTCCTCGATTCTTCTTGAGGCGAAGTTTTGACTTTTGCATTAAAAGGAATAGGGGAAAAGCACTATCTGCAGTTATAGCATTAGCACTAGAAGACGAGTATGCGTAATGCATATTTGCAAAGAAAATATTACTGTATCTGCATGAAAATGTATCGTGCTTCAGCTGCAGTTCAAGAGGAACAGAGGCGTAAGAGGAACATTTAAGTCTTTCATTTCCAGAACGGAACTAGACATGGCGTTAGGTGTATTGTTTATATTGTAAATTTCGTTTGGATGGAATAAATGCCCTTTCTTTATAGAGTTGGAATAAATGTCAATAATTGATATTGAATCGTGTAACGTAATAACTCTTTTCATCGTCAATTCTTTTTGTCAAAAAGAAATATCATATGTCTCAAATTTGCATTTCAATATCTTTATTCAATTTCTTTTATAAGTTTCAAATTAAAAGTTTAATTTGGTTCTTTTTCGTAGTAAATAATTTAGAACGTCTTTTGTATTGATTTATTTAATTAAGTTGCAAATAGTAAAATTTAATTAAAGATCAATTTATAATTAATGATTATTTTACAATTTAGAATATTATAGAGATTTATTAATTGAAGTCTTATGGTTACTTTAACCCCTATTTTATATGGGAATTTTATAGGTCGAAACTTTTGCAATCCACTTATTTGATAAATCAATTAAAAGAAATTTACTTTAAAAGTGAACTGGAATTGATCAATGGACTATAATTAAATTGACAACTTTATCAATAATATAACTATCTTTATCTTTTTTTACATTGGTTGTCTTGATCTATTTAATTGAATTTTGCTAATTTTAGATGGGTAAAATATAATCTTAGAAACTAATGTTACCATTATCTTTTAAGAGTAAAAAAGTAAAAGGTTAAACCCCATGTGGGTTTTTTCCAGTTTGATCTCTGTTTTTTTAAAATCTCCAATCTTGTTGAGATTGGAAGTAAACGTAACATTCTCATATCTTTGTACCTGGAATATATTATTAAAAAGAAAATTCTGAAAATTGAAACTCAAAGGTTCATCGTCTTCCTTAGACATCGAGCCATCTTTTCGCGTTTGGAATCGGGGTTGAAATTGGGTTTCCTGATTGTTGCGATTTTGGATGTTCTCTAAAATCTTTTTTGCAGTTTTGGGTCTCACGAATTGGGGGTTAGGGTGAATTCTCTTTTAGGTGCTTTATTCTTGTTTTCTCAAATTGCGTTTTGGGGTCAGAGTTATGCTTCTTGTGTTCTTGATCTCGTAAGTTTCATTTGAGTTGATGATTGAGATTTTGGGATTATGGCTTTCAGGTTCTGTTTTGGAATTGGGGTTCCTTTTTTGAGATAACAACAATTATTCCATATGTTAAAGCACGATTTGGAGAAGCCAAGCGATGGCTCAAGATCGTTGGAATGTTAAGCACATGGAAGAAAGAGGTCTAAGATGGATCGAGACCGGTGTTGCCAGGGGGAACAACAACATCAATTGGGACAACGTAACCACCAGGGGGAACATCGACGACTTGCAGTGGGTGGTGTTTGAATGACAATGAGGGAGGTTGATGAAGATGTTCGCGAACTGGTGGAGAAATCGAACTCGGGACGGCGTTGCGATTCGCATTCAAGGGTTCTGCTGGAGAAGATGAAGATGGTTGCTGGAATGCTATAAATTGATTGCGTGACGGCGGCACAAGGTGGTCTTGCGCCGGTGACGCTGGTGTTAGGTGATGGCGAGGTTGCGGCAAGACGGCAGGGCGGCTGACGGCGGCCTAGGATTGCCCATGGTGCTGACTGCGGCACAAGCACATTCCTCTCAGCATGCCACGTTTATAAGCCAAATTAACGGCAGAGACTCAATTGATTCAAATTAGCCCATTTTAGGACTTAATTGGAGATTTTTAAAAAATGGAAATCAAACTAAGAAAAATTCACATAAATAAAGACAACTAAAAGGAGTTAACCAAAGTAAAAATTAAGTGTTATAATTTATAATCGACTATATTTTTTATTATTTTCCACCGGTTTTCTCTCGCTGTTCTCAGTAATTTTTTTTTCAAAGTTTTGATTCTATAACTTATTTTATAATAATAATAATAATAATAATAATAATAATAATAATAATAATAATAATAATATAATAAGGTGAGTGTTCGTTACGTTGTTAGTATCTGACTAGAAGTTGAAACGATCAATTAAAATGCTAATACAACAAATTAGTTTCTTATAAATATTGTTTTGCTGTATTACTAAATTTTTTATTTAAATTCTCTTCTTTTTTTATTTTAAAATAATGGAGTTGTTAGTGATGCAATAGTAAATAACAATAACAGCAGTAAATATTTGATGACAGAAAAACAACAATTAATATAATTAAAGATATAACTTTATTTTACAATAAAATTTGAGAAGTTCGAAGTCATCTGTCCCGTTTTAGCGTTAGAAATATGGAAACGTATATTTAAAAAAACCGTAGGGAGGAGTATTTCTGGAAATTCACAAAATTCGACCGTTGGAAAAATTCAAAAATCCTCATCAATACACCCTTTTTATATACAACTATTCGTTTCAGAATACGAACCCAATCTCTCTCTCTCTCTCTCTCTGCAACGCTCCAATGGCTAAAATTAACGACGAACAACAACAGAGCACAACGAGATCATCGATCATGGAGTGGAAGCACATGCACCCACTTCACCAAATCGCTGAAACACCGACGCACAAGCTCCTCCTGAAGCAGTGGCTTAAAGAAGAGGAACTCATCAATACCCGCATAGCTCTGAAGGAGACTCAAATAGATTCTACGCGCAAAGAGATCACCACACTCTACATCTTCTTCTTCCTCTTCCACTCCACCACTCTCATGCTCCTCTTCAACTCTTCACAATCATCACCGTCTTCTTCCTGTCACAAGTCATGGTTCCCTTCACTTTGCTCTCTGCTATTCTCTCTCGGAATCATGTGGGCCCTGCGCTACAAAAGCGCTGTGGAGGCTCACATGGAGAGGATGCTGCTGCGGGAGAAGGAGGACAAAGGGTTGCTGGGTAAGTGCGTGGAGGAGTTGAAGAAGAAAGGGTTGGAGTTTGATTTGATGAAGGAGGTGGATGCTTTGAGGAGAGCCAAGAGTTTGAGGGTGGAGACCAAAGATGTTAGGAAATGGTCTTCAAGGGACTTTGTTTTCTTGTTTTTCTTCTCCATGGCTTGCTTCTCTCTTGTTCTCACAAGGATCATCTTGTGCAGTTAGGAAGTGGGATTAGTACAAATTTATGTTCTAAATTTTTTAATCCTTTGGTTTTGGTTAAGATCTTTGCTATCTGTCACCTATTATTACCATTACCATTATTGCAAGGGGGCAGTTGCAGAATGTACTGTTCTGCTTTTAAATGTGTAATTTGGGCATACTATATATTGAACTTGTGGAATAAAGTTATAATTTAGTTTCAATTCTGATCATGATTGCTAGGGATGGAAGGTGAAATGTGATGCAAATGCTGTTTTTGATTCACAGCAAATTATACAAGTGAGTTTGTGATTTTTATGTTACCCAATTATTGCAACGGTAGCCAATATTTTAAGTATACTGTTATAGATCTTGTTTCAGCGTTAGCTGATTGGGAAAGATATGATTGAATTTTGTTTGGATCAAGTAGCACAAAGATGCTGTCGAGTGGATGCTCCATACAGATTCATTGCTTTGAATAAAGAAGATAGAAAAAAGTGAAAAAAAAAAAGAGATAACCAACCTTTGTGTAGTTTGATTTTAAAAAAATGATTTGTGAAGTTGAAGGACAGTAATTGTCTTAAAAAGAATAACCACCTGATGTATAATTTGAGCTGGTTGATGGCCATTTGTTTATGCCAGAGAACTGCAGTATCCAACCACAGAACTTTTTCATAAACTGTTCTACCATGAATCACTTTGATGTTATTATAGTAAGGTAATGCTGATTTTAAAGAAATAATAGTTGAGCATGAAGTTAGCATTTCTTCATAATAACCACACTACTCCCATTAGTCCAACATCCACCAAGTTAACTGTGAAAAAAACAAATAAATCAAGTTTGCTTATGAGGGTATCGACAACTTTTTAATATAAAGGTCATTTTTAACAGACAAAAAAGAGGAAACTGGCAATGAGCAGAGAAAATATATCCTCCACAGTGAAAGGCATTGATTAAAAGACTTTTCAAAGACTGGATTATGAGAAATCTCCCATTTAAAAAAACACATTGAATAAATGAAGGTTAGGGACATAATATATAAATTAAACTACTCAACACCTTTTGGTGATTCAATAAATGAAAAAAAAATAATAGATTACAAAAATAACTACTTAACGAATAGTCCACCAAAAACACATACTTACTTTCTATCTTAATATAAAAGATTGTAATTTTTTCTATTTCAATATTAAACTAAGAGTAGTAAAAAGGAAACAAAGCTTTCAAATTTATGGGTGTCGTCCAGGTGGTGTTCGTGATCATGGGTATTGTCAGAATAAATGGTGTTATGTTGTAAAAAAAAGAAATGGATTTGAGAGAAAAGAGAGTTTACATAGATTTTAACCTGGCTCTATTTTAAAAAGTTATAGAAATAGAATTAAATAAAAATATATAAAGACAAAAATAAGTATAAATTTAGGTTGTCCTCGAGTAGATGAATTTTAGGAAGAGTAAGTAAATGAATTGGAGGGAAAGTGTGTATTGTTTTATTTAAGAGATTGGAAATTGATTGAGAATGGATTTAGAAATAAAGTTTGTGAGAGATTGTAGTAATAGGATTGATTAAAAATATGTTTTAATAGATAGAGAATGAAGATTACCAAATTACCTTTAATGACAGTGGAGCTCTCAAAATGGGTCACAACCCGTGGGCTAATCCAACCCACCACAAGTTTGAGTCGGGTTGAGTTTGAAAAAATTGTATTTTTTTTATGCAGGTTAGATTTCAACCCGACTTATTTAAACCCGGCTCATGCGAGTTGAACCTGTGGTGGGCTGGGTTGGCCCACCAACCCACCTACCTAATTTTATTTTATTAAAATTTAATTTTAATTTTATAAAAAAATATTTATTATTTTGTTTTTTCTTGAAAAAATTATTTAAGTTCCTTATTTTCAAAATTAATTAAACAAATTTGGGGGTGAAATTTGTTTAGATTTGAATTATAGAAAGTTTGTAATTTTTTTATTTAAAAAAAATTGTAATTAAGTGAGCTAATGAGCCAACCCGTGATGGGTCGTGACCGTTCGTGGCCCAGGAGTTCTTGAAGAACTTCCCAGTAAACGTGAGTGACCGTCCGTGGCCTAGGAGTTCCTGAAGAACTTCCCAATAGACGTGAGTGACCGTCCGTGGCCCAGGAGTTCCTGAAGAACTTCCCAGTAGACGTGAGTGACCGCCCATGGCCCAGGAGTTCCTGAAGAACTTCCCAGTAGACGTGAGTGACCGTCCGTGGCCCAGGAGTTCCTGAAGAACTTTCCAGTAGACGTGAGTGACCGTTCGTGGCCCAAGAGTTCCTGAAGAACTTCCCAGTAGACGTGAGTGACCGTCCGTGGTCCACGAGTTCCTGAAGAACCTCCCAATAGACGTGAGTGACCGCCCGTGGCCCAGGAGTTCCTGAAGAACTTCCCAGTAGACGTGAGTGACTGTCTGTGGCCCAGGAGTTCTTGAAGAATCGCCCAGTAGATGAAATATGTGAGGCCGAACAGCTGAATGCCTGAACACTTGACGCCATGGAGGACGGACGGTAGAGGCCGAGTGGCCGAATACCTGTGAGAGCTGATGGTCGAGTACCTGTGAGGCCGAATGGCCGAATACCTGAATACTTAAGGCCACATAGGGCTGAACAGTAGAGGCCGGATGGCTTGTGAGGTCGGATGACCGAGCGTTAGAGGTCGAATGGCCGAGAATCTGTGAGGCCGGACGACCGAGCACCTGTGAGGCCGGACGAACGAGCACTTATGAGGCCGGACGACCGAGCGTTAGAGGCCGAATGGTCGAGCATCTGCATGGCCGGACGACCGAGCACCTGTGAGGCCGGGTGGCTGAGCACGTGTGAGGCCGGATGGCTGAGTGTTAGAGGTCGAATGGCCGAGCGTCTGTGAGGCCGGATAGCTGAGCACCTGTGAGGCCGGATGGCCGAGCACTTGTGAGGCCGGATGGCCGAGCGTTAGAGGCCAAATGGCCGAGCATTTGTGAGGTTGGGTGGCCGAATACTTGAATACTTGAGGCCCCGGAAAGCCGAACAGTAGAGGCCAAGTGGCCGAATATTTGATAACTTTGTGTAAACAAAAAATTTGGTCGAGCATATTATCTTCAACAAAACAACTTTAAAGAAAAAAGAATAAATGTTTTAATAAAACGTGACAATAATGTTTAATTGAAGAAAAATGTTTATATGAGTCTCTTTACCTAGTTTAGGGATAGTTTTTCCTTTGAGCTAATAAGTTCTTTTAGCAAGATGTCGAGTTTAACTAGTAGTTGTTTCTGCTCCTCTGTCCGTTTGAGGGGGAACGAAGGGTGTGACTTTTAAGCTAGCATTATAGCATTCTCGGGCTGTCCATTGATCAGCCCGTACAGTGCATATGATACCCTTATCTGACGGGAATTTCAAGGCTAAATGTGGGGTGGAGACCACAGCTCCGAAAGCATTCAAACAAAGTCGTCCCAGCAGAGCGTTATATGGAGTATGAGCTTCTACTAACAGGAATCTTGTTCTGAGTTCTTTCGCTTCTTTGTCCGTTCCAAGTCGAGTCCTCAAGTCTAAGTATCCTCGAGTATCGACTCTTTCTCCTGTGAATCCCACTATTTGGTCTATCAACACCTTTTCTACGCTATACCGAGCGATAACAGTAGTTATTACCATCGGATCATCCTGGTCGGGATCGTGGGCATGAAAATCTTCATCAGTGAATGTGATAGGTGGCATTGAGCGCTTCTTCACATCCACCCGATGAACACTTTTTAACTCCCTCGGACTCCTCTTTCTTGCCGATGCTGATGAGCCTCCTTCAGCAAATCCTCTGGATATAATATTTATTATGCCGCGTAGTGGTCGGTCACGACTCCGGCTTCTGCTTTGCCTATGATCTGGGCGTCTATCATCTCTCCGATCGGTTCGTTCGGTCCTAGCCCTCCTAGGTGGGCTTCTCCCCACTCGTTCGTTCTTCACAAACTTCCTTAGATGCCCTGCCCAAATCAACTCCTCCACCTTATCCCTCAACACCGTGCAATCTTTAGTGGTATGTCCTATATTTAGATGATAGGTACAATGTTTAGTTTCGTCGGCTTTCCTTGAGGATTTAGAAGGCCTCAAAGGTGGAAGGAGATCAGCACTCAGAGCTTCTTCCAGAATTGTAGCCCTTGGTGCGTTCAACGGGGTATATCTTTCAAATTTGGGCCCTTCCGGACCATCTCTATACTTTTGGCCTTTCTGGCACTCGTCTTGGACGAACGTCCTCTTCCCCTCTTTCTTCTCTTGACCTGAGGTTGAATTTTGCTCGTGTTGTCGCTTTTGAACGACTCTCATCTCCTCGATTCTGATGAACTTAGTCACTCTTTCTTGTAATTCATCCAGGGTCATAGGGGGTTCTGCGAACAGGTTGTCCGAAAAAGGGCAAGGCCTCAACGCTGTTGCCTAAGTGCTAATCGTGAATTTCTTGCCTACCCCCCTCACCTGCCGTGCGGTCTTGTTATATCGGTCCATAAAATCTCTAAGACTCTCTCCCTTCTCCTGCTTGATATTCGTTAACTCCATATACGTTAAATTTCGGATCTTACTGGCAGAAAATTGCCTCTCAAACATGTTTCTTAGGGTTGCGAAGTCATTGATGGTTCTGGGTCGAAGCGAATGGAACCATGCTAAGGCCTCTCCCTTTATTAATAAGGAAAAAACTATGCACCACACATTCTCATTGGGAGAGTAGATGGTCATAGCATCGACGAAGGACCTCATGTGCTCCACCGAATCTCCTGATCCATCATACTTCTCCAGAACTAGAAACGCTCTTCTTGGGATTTGTTCCTCCATAACCTCCGTCGTGAATGGATGAAGCAGCCAGAGCAGGGCGATTATTAGTCCTGTGCGAGCTGGTCTCGCCATGATCCTTCCCTTGGTTTCGGCTATAATCAGCTTCTTGGTCAGTGTCTTCTTCCGAGTCCTAATCAGTTTCTGGAAATTCTACAACGGGTGGTGTCTGAGCGTGTGCGGAAAATTGTTAATTAGCTTGAGCTTCTCTAGCCGCATCACGCTCGTCGCTCAAAGTTTCGATCTCCGCCTTCATCGCCTCCATCCTTCTTCGCATCTCCTGCATAAACACTATTGGGTCCTGTGCCATCCTTATGGTCTCGCTAAGGTATCTTCAACAATCATCGGCCCCACGGTTGGCACCAAAATGTTTCTACAGAAATGGGTCGAGGATACCGCCTGTCACTTCCGCTCGAGAATGCTCCAGCCTCCACTATCTTCAACCGGTCGGTTCTCCGTATCTCAATCTCCACGCCTAAATTTCTTCTTCAGAGTGTAAGTACCGAGTGGGGGGGAGGGGGGGGGGGAACCTGCAGAAGACACTCCGACGCTCAAGTCAAAATTTACCTCTGTAAGTCTATTAGTAATGAGTTAAAATTGGGAAAAAAGATCCCTTTACCTCCTTGATAATCTGTTATTTATAGGGCTTAAAGGAATCTAATTAATTAATTTGCCCCTTAATGAGAATCAATGCAAATCTTAACCGTTTCACGGTGACCGTTACACCATTAATTGCGTGCTAAATGATATTCAACGGTTGTCCGGACCAAGCAGCTACAGGAAGCTCTTACGAATATCCTCCACCTGACTTCGTAGTCCTTATCTTACGCCGATCACCGATCGAGGTTGATTGACCCTGTTCGTAATAACATGGTCTGAGTCTCATCGATCGGTCGACCAGTCAGACATTCAACAGTAACATTTGAGTCTAACCTATCGGTTGAGCGGTCAGACTTATATTCAATGGTAACAATAATATATATACAGTAGATGATAAATTTTAATATTCCTTTCTTAATAACCATGAATTAGACAATGGAGATATAGATTAAGATAAGATTGTCAAAACAAACATTGTTTTGAAACTTAACAAAACGTCTAAACGAAATAGCGTTTAACAAAGCAAATTGTTTAAGATAAAAATACAAGCGCTAAATACATACATAAAAAATATCATAAACACTATATATTACTCAAACAGACAATGTCTAGATGCGTATAATGACTAAACGTTTAGAATTATCTAACGCTTTAATGCATGTATGTAGTGATGTTCTTTTTGGTTGTGTTATGCTCTCTTTTCCTATGCAAATCATTTCAGTACAAGTCTTTATTCAAAAACTTACGTCAGAATCATAAGAATGTTTAGAGATAAGAAAATATTCATGAAATGTTTTCTTCATACTTTTTATCTGTCTCCTCTGTACACACAACACAACTTGTAACCTCATACTAAAAGACTATATCCCTACAAGTTAAAACTCTAAGTAACAAATTTTTTTCGAAGGAGTCTATGTAAAGATAAATGCATGAAGAGAAAAAAAAGAATAATTATCTTTGCATACACTCACAATGTTATTTTCTCTTTAAAGCTTATATTGTCCAATACTTGTTTGTTGAAAAAGAAAAGTATTTTATCTTTTTATTGGATTTAGAGTATGAGAGCATAATAATAAATAAATAAGGAACTAGTGAGAAAATTAAGTGTGTTATATTAAAATATTGTTAAAAAATTTGTGTGGAAATATATTTTTCTATTGAAATAAATACAATGGAGGTGATATTTTTTTTGTAATATTAAGAATATATATTGTGAGTAGTGATTGCATGAGGAGGTGTAATTTTAGTTACGTACATAGAAGTTTTGAATGAAATAGAAAGAAGCTATATATAATTAAGGTGTTAAGGAAAGGACATAATTAGAATTGTTGGTTGGCTTAGCGCAGTTGACTCTGCAGGACCGATGGAGAAAACAAAACGAAAACCTCTCCTCACCTCAGATGAACAAAAACTCATTACATCGTTTTGTTTCACTCACAAACGTATATAAACCCACACTCTATCCTTTTCCTAACATGCATTCTTAATCTTCATCTTCTTTTCTTTTCTTGTCCTTTCTTTTCCCTCAACCAGAAACCATGGCAAAAACAGCCTTCCTCTTCCTCTTCACCACGCTACTCGTTACCTCCTCTCTCGCTGAAGCTCCCTCCGGTTCCCCCGCCGCCACTCCCACCACTTCGTCGCCACAAGCCTCAGCTCCCAAAGCTTCTCCATCCACCGCCCCCAAAGCTTCTCCTCCCAACGCCGCTGCCCCCACCGCCACCAACGCCTCTTCTCCCACCGCCACCGACGCCTCTTCTCCCACCGCCACCAACGCCTCTCCTCCCACCGCCACCAACGCCTCTTCTCCCACCGCCAGCAGCTCCACTTCTCCCGCCTCTGCCCCCACCGCTACCCCACCAAAGGCCTCCACTTCTCCCACGTCTTCTCCGGCGTCTTCTTCACCGTCTCCTTCCACCTCCACCTCCGCCGAATCCCCAACCGAATCCTCAACAGAATCTCCCCCTGCTCCCGACGCCGCCGATTCCCCCGATTCCGCTGTTGCCTCCAGTCCCGCCGTCTCCAGCGATGGACCCGCGGGCGGTCCCTCTGCAGATTCTCCCGTGAGCATCGCTTCCCACCGCAGAGTCTCGACCGCCGGATTTGTGGCCGTGGTGTTGTTTGGCGCAGTGGCCGGGTTGGTGTAGAAATCCGTGAGTTTTGCATGGTTAGGGTTTATTTTTATCGTTGGTACGAGGTTGTGTGGAGTTGGAATTAGAAAGACAGCGAAGATTTGTTTTTATTATTGTGATTCTTATTAACCTCACGTTGATAGTGACTTTTGGGAGATCTTCAATAGGGTTCATGTACTCTCTGAAACTGATACTACCATCATATTATTTATTATCAATTTATCCATCTTTTTCTTCCCTCTAATACATTCTTTATCCTTTCTTTCCTATGTTAAATTCTTGCTTTGGTATGAAGATATATAGTTTTTAGGAGGAACAAGTTTTTGTCGTGTTTTGGGGTTTGGAAGCATGTCACGGTTACGGTTGAAGTGGGAGGTTTGCTACTTTTGACTTAGCAACAATTATTAAACCAGAAAAATGTTTTTTAACAATTTTTTTCGACCATTTTTCTACATCGTTTTATGTCATAATTTGTTATTGGTTCATTTTAAATATACACATAATTTATTATTAAAAAGTTATTAAAAATAAGTTGTTAACGTATTATAATTCTAAATATAAATGGCCTCCGTAATATTATGTGATGTTTTAGAACATCGACTAGAGGATGTAAAAGATGAAAATTATGCACATCGATTTTTATTTTTTTTTGTCAATATTTTTTTTAATCATATTTTTTTTAATTCCACTTTAACGTTTTTATGTTTAAATTTACTTTAATTTTATTCAACTTTTAGATGATTCTTGTACTACACGGGGTAAATATGTCCTCAGACATTAAATAAATTAATAGTTTAATTAATTTTATCTATATCTGGTTTCACGTCACTTCAAGTTAAATATAAATATATTATTAACTTTCATTTTTCACATCTAAAATGTGAATTAAGTTAAATTAAACATATATTTAAAATGAGTTGTACACAAATCATGTATATAAATTAACCAATAGTTCGATTTGAAATTTTTTTTAAATACTATATACTATCGATACATTTTTAATTTTAATACTATGATTCATAATTACTAAAATTTAACCATAGAAAAATTGCTAAAGACTAAACAATTATCTTTCCTTTTAGTAATCAATTTGATTTTAAAAGAATTGTTGTTCGTAAGTTTTAGAAATATGATTTTTTTTAATTAATAACGTTGAAATTTTAGTTGAATCACAACTCTCAACGACCTATCTAAAAACGGCATAGATTACTAACTTTTTTTTTTAAAATTACAAAATAAAAAAATCAGTTAAAACTCACAATTTATAAATAATTTAATCTATCTTACTTTTTTCCTGTATATTACTTTCAATTTTAATTCGGAGTTTCTTTAAAAGACAAACACTTTAATTCCTAACTTTTGTATTCTGCAGGTTAACTTGAAATTACATGAAATCGACACATTCTTTCTCAATCTACTCCTAAATATATTTTTCTTTTATATTTACTCGAATCAATTAGATTGATGTTTTACTCTGTTTTTAAAATAAGAGATGTTTCTCTTCACCCATATGTCCTGAAAAATGAAAAAAATATATATAAAATAAAACTTTTAATAATATTTTAATATATATATATATATATATATATATATATATATATATATATATATATATATGTCATAGTTGATCATTTTCTTTCTAATTTTTAATTTTATTTTTTAATTTTAAAAAATTTTCATATAACAAATCAATATTGTAAGTATTAATGTGAGTCTCACGTGTTAATTTGTGGTTATATTATTTCTTTTATTTGGTTTTGTCTCAATTTTTATTTAATTTGGTTTCTATCTTTTTAATTTTGATAAATTGTTTTCATATTCAAA